TTCTTTTTGCTAGTTCTCCAATATTGATAGCCAGCAACCATATGTCAACTTCTTCCCTGATAAATTATATCATTTAACACTCTCATGTCTACTGATGTTTAGAAAGGTCCTGATCTGCCTCCTGAATCACCATTCTGTTCATCTCTATCCCACGGTCCAAGATTTAATGGCCTGAACAACTCTCATGCCTACCCCACATCAGTTCTTGAAGAATACATGCCCAGTTGCTTAGATCTTCCATGTGCCACAGGAACAGAAAAACTATAATAAAGCTACTTCCGGGCCGGGTGTGGTGGCTCACGCCTGTAATCCTAGCACTCTGGGAGGCCCAGGCGGGTGGATTACTCAAGGTCAAGAGTTCGAAACCAGCCTGAGCAAGAGCGAGACCCCATCTCTACTATAAATAGAAAGAAATTAATTGGCCAACTAATATATATAGAAAAAATTAGCAGGGCATGGTGGTGCATGCCTGTAGTCCCAGCTACTTGGGAGGCTGAGGCAAAAGGATTGCTTGAGCCCAGGAGTTTGAGGTTGCTGTGAGCTAGGCTGATGCCATGGCCCTCACTCTAGCCTGAGCAACAAAGCAAGACTCTGTCTCAAAAAAAAACAAACAAAAAAACTACTTCCAGAGGTTCAAAGTACAAGGAGGGAAAACTATTAATATGAGCTCTGGTTTGTAGTTACCTATTCTTAGGGTAGACAATGGGATGAAAGCTAAAGTTATTATCAGAGTGATAAAGGGAACTAAGTAGGGGCTGGAAGGGCCAACACACCAAAGGGATAAAACAGAAATTAAGGCCCTATTAGAAGACTGCAAATAAAAACAGCCTCTGACAGGTTCCTTTACGTGCCAAAGCTCCTGAGAAGACTCCTCAAGAAGCCACAGCCCTTGTCCCCTCTCTCAAGAGAGAGAATGAGAATGATAGGTCTGGGGGTCGGGGTGAAACTAGAACCTTTATGGGTAGAAAGAACAGGAATCATTGTTCTAGCTTCTTCCACCTGCCCCAGAGACCCTAAAAGCATCACTGAATGTCAGAGGTGGTATCATTTCAGGGACAAAGGGCAGATTTTGCTGCCTGCCTCCCCTTTCCCCTATTCCTCCTAATCTATTTAAAAATCTTTTATGGATAGGAAATCCACCATTTAGGGCAAAAACCCTAAAATGCTAATGTTTGAAGGGCACAGAAACTTATTTATACCAAAGTGCAATAAGACAAGTTTACATGACTGAGATCCCGGCATTTTCTGATTTTAATTTAAAAAGGTTTTTAAAAAAGAGAAAAACCTAGGTCCCTAAAAAGTCAAGGCAGAGAGTAAACTCCAGGATTTGAGCATACATGTTGGGGGAGAAGGGAGGTAGACAAGCAGAAGGGGAAAAAAACAGAAATGTGGGGCCAAAACCAAACCACCTAAATTGACAAGGTTGTTGTTTTTACATTCAATGGCTCACAGACAAGCATAAAATGCTGCAGAAATAAGTAATCATGTCCCTAAAGACTCTTACAAAAAGCATACCTACAACACTGGCTCTACATTAATATATTAATCTTTTCACAGTTTCTACCTGGAACAAGGAAAAAGACACTATTTAGAAACTTTCCTAGTAAGTTCTTAAGCTAACTTTGGTTACCACAAATCAAAAGTGAAAAAAGTAATTTTATTTACCTACATCAAGAGCAATAGTGACTTTTCCCACTAAATTCTCCACAGCTTATGACCATTCATTCATCGATTTACACAGAGTCTTGCTACGTTGCCTGAGCTAGTTGCTGTCAGCCTAGCTTACAACAACCTCAAACTCCTGGGCTCAAGTGATCCTCCTGCCTCAGCCTCCTGAGTAGCTGGGACTACAGGCATGCGCCACCACACTCGGCCAATTTTTTGTTTCTATTTTCAGTTGCCCAGCTAATTTTTTCTATTTTTTAGTAGACATGGGGTCATGGTTGCTTAGGCTGGTCTCAAACTCCTGAACTCCAGCAATCCTCCCACCTTGGCCTCCCGGAGTGCTAGGATTACAACAATTCTTTTTTTAAGAACAATTTTTTATTGATGTGCAAAAGATGTACATAGTTTTGGGGTATATGTACTATTATTTAATACAGTCATATAATTTGTAAAGATCAAATCAGTGTACTTGGGATATCCATCGCCTTAAATATTTGTCTTTTTTTAATGCTAGAAACATTCAAATTATTCTCTTCTAGCTATTTTGAAATGCACAACAGATTATTATTGTAAACTACAGTCATCCTACTGATCTACTGAACGTTAGGTCTTATTTCTATCAAACCGTACATTGGTTTATGACAATTCTAAAATTTCATTCATTTATGAATTACATCAATAAATAGTCAAGCCCCAGCTATGTGCCAGGCGTTGTTCTAGGCCATGGGGAAAGCAGCAAACAAATCAAAATCTCTGTCTTCATGGAGTTTATGTGGGGAGGGATGGAACAGAAAACAAACTAATAATGTCAGGTGGCAATAAGTGCTATAGAGAAAGAACAGTGAGTAAGAAGGATAGAGTAAAGGGACAGAGTACTATTTTATTGGTGGTCAGAGAAAGTCTTTCTGATAAGTTATGTGTGTAAATACCTAAAGGAAATCAGAAGGCAAACCACACAGATTTCTGGGGAAAGAGCACAGGCTCTAATGTAGGAGCATGCCAGGCACTATCAAGAAACATCAGGGGTAATATAGCTGGAAAAGAATAATCGAGGAGAGTTTTAGGACATGAAGCTAACAAGGTAAGGGAGAGAAGACAGACCATGTACAGTCTTAAAGATAAGATGACCACAGGCACTTACCTTTCATGCTCAAAAGTGTCCTGGTTTGGACCATAAATTTTATGGTCACCATATATACAGGTGATTATAAAAACTTTTTAATCTAAGTGAGATGGAGAGCCATTGGAGGTTTCTGCGTAGAGAAATTCTAAAAGGATCATCCTGACTATTTTATGGAGAAGAAACGGTAGAGGGACAAGGGGCAAGGGTAGCAGTAGAGATACCGGTGAGCAGATTATTGTGGTAACACAGTTGAAGGATTAGGTAGGTGTTTTGGACCAATACTTGGTGCAAGCATTGAGAAGTGGTCAGATTCTGAAGTCAGAGATGACAAGACTTGCTGATGTATTGGGTGTGGATGGGAAGAAAGAGGAGCCAGGAATTACTCCAAAATTTTTGACCTGAACAATAGCAAGAATGGAGATACCATTTAGTGACATAGCAAACAAGGTTTGGTAGGGAGGCGGGGAGTGGAATCAGGAGTTTGGTTCTGGACTTGGTATGTTGAAATGCCCATTAGATATTGAAATGTAGGCATGTGGATAGAGTCTGGGGTTCATGAGAGAGGTCTGTGCTGGAGAGATAAATATGGGAATCATCATCATATAAAGGGTGTAGACTATATATACTTATTCTACAGCTTTAAAACAGATGTTTCTCTCTTCATAAACCAAGTCCTAAAATAGTAAAAGGAACACAGTATAATTCGAATTTCTACCAATCTCCTATGGAAAAGCAAATTACACAACCACTGATAGCAGTTTTCAACGTTATTTCCTCACAGCTCTACATAAGACAGGTTATCTTCACATACACAAAACTTTCTCATGGATATTCTTGGATTTTGATGATACCCAACAATAAATGGTACAGAGAAGTAATTCTACAATAATCCCTATTCATAACAGCTATTTAAATTTCATATTAGACAAGGGTAGGCTTCTTTACTTTTTTCTGTCTCATTCAATAAAGTACCTCAAAACTGAGAATGCTGTTTTATAGGAGTTAAGTGGAGCCTATTCTAATTCTTGCAGTCATCTGCAAACAAATATTTTAAGTCTCTAAACAAATAATTCTGACACTTTACAGGCTAGTATCTGCATACTAATGTATTTCAATTGATAACCCTGCCTTAAAGTCTTGCAATAGATAAAAGATAAAAACTCATCTAGATAAAAACTAATTCTGATTTACTTTTTCTGAACCTGGGTTAGAAGATATAAAAAAGAGCCCCAAAATTTTATAGCGCCCTTTCTTCACATACTGAAAATCATTAGTGTATTCTGATCCTATTCTGAAGGGATTAACACCTTAATCATGCCCCAAGGCATTTCATGGGTAACTAGGTGATTTACAAACTCCTTTCTGACTCCAAGAAATAACAGCAGGCTAATTACAAAAAATATTTTACTTACAGTAAATTCGCGAAGATCTCAAACTCTCAAACTTTTCAGAAAAAAAAAATACTTGGAAATCCAAAGTTTTGGATTATTTTATACACAATGTAGTTCGTGCATTCAAATTTAGAAGCAATTACAGCCTACATTTAGTAAAACGTATTCTCAAGAAGCTGTAAAACAGATTTCTCATCTTTGGGATTTTTTTTAAAGCTCGAATATTATGTATTCCTAAATCCTGAACTCTACAGTCTTGGGCTTTGGACTAAAAAGCTTCCAGCCAAGAAATCAAAGAGTTTTGTTGGGAACTTGGACAAAAATCTCAGATAATTTTCAGTGAAAGTCTAACAACACGCAAAATTAACAAGTCTCAGTTGCTTTATCGCCAGAAAGACCCCCAATACAAAGCGTCTCCTCTCCCTCTTCTGAACCGCAAGAGTTAAATATTCTAGACTAAGCACCCCAGCAGAGAAAACAGCAGCCTCTAGGGGAGAGGGAGGCGCAAACCTCTCTTAGCCGGTTGGGCGGGAAGGGGGGAGCCGGCATGGGTTTCGCGGCACTTACAGGTCCGTCAACACCATGAGCTCCGAGTAGGCCCGGTGCAGCAGAAATTCAATGAGGGTGCTCAGCCGGTAGCCAGGGCTAGCCGCAGCGGCAGCTGCCGCTGCCACGGCGGCTCCCGGAGGAGGAGGAGCTGGGGCTGACGCGGGGCCACCACTGCCGCCGCCGCCGCCGCCTCCAGGCGGGACCAGCTGGTGGTTCTCTAGCTGCACTGGGGCCATGGTGGCGTAGGGCCGGACTTGGCGCAGCGGCACAAGATGCGGCCCTCAAGCCTCCTGGGCGCTCGGTCACCGCGCCAAACGGGGCGCGGGCAGAGTCGCCACCGCCTATCGCCGGACCGCCTCTGAACAGGAAGCCGTGTGCCGACCGCGGAAGCCCGCCTCCATGTAGCGATGAGCTCGCCGGCCACAGTGACGGGAGAGAGGGGCGGGGAAGCGGGGCGGCAGCCGCAGAAGAGAAGCTGCGCCTCCGCGACTGCTCAGAAGCCGTTCCGCCAGGCAGCCGCCGCAACGTCCATGTTGACGGCCCAAAGCGGAAGTCGTTTGGCAGAGCGGAAGGGGAACCCGTAGGGGGCCTTCCGACAGAGCCTGCGTCTTTTCTCCCCGCTGTCTCGCGCGGCGGCGCTTGGTGGCGCGTGGGAGTGGGGCGGAGTCGGCGCGCGCGGGAAAGCGGAAAAGGGGGGGCCGCTCGCCGCCGGAAGCCGGGGTGGGGGCGGAGCCGGTCTCGTCACTGGGGACGTCAGCAGGTGCCCCTCCCTTACCCTCGTCCCTCTCCCTTTCTGCCTCCCCCAACCCTCGGCGTTTTAAAAGCGACAATTTGCCCTGAGGAATCGATCTTCGCTCTCTAAGTGAACCACTAATACGGCCGGGAAGGCCTTCTCTAAGATGTTCGTGAGTTCTGGTTCTGGCATCGCGAGGACATGCAGTGGCAGTCCTCTCGTGATTTCTCAGGCCTTTGCTCCTCCCACAGACGTCCGAGGCGTATTTCGTAAGAGAGAGGACGTTTGCGTCGTTTTTTTTTTTTTAAACTGTGGGAAAATGTGCGAGAAAATATGTTTGGGGATAGAGACAGGGTCGCTGGCAGAATAACTTAACTTTAATAGAACTAGGTATATGCTAAGCTTGTTACAGTCCCCCAAATCTCATCAGTTTAACGGAGAAACAGCCCTTAAATCATTTGCTGCTGGCTCTCATTCGGTTTTTGTCCCTGCTCTTGTAGCCGCCCTGTCCTCAAGGACTCTCAATTAGTCTTGTATGCCGCCACTTTTCCCTCTCAAAATCCAAGTTTAATTTTTTGCGCCCGCTTTAAAACTGATTCTGAACCTTGGCTGCATTTTGGAATCATCTGAGGGGCTTTAAAAAAAATACTTAGGCCTATGGGTTTCACCCCCATACGTTCAGATTTAATTGATACGGTGGGACGTCTGGGCTTTGGGATTTTTAGAAGTTTTCCGGATGATTCTAATGTGCAGCTCACAGATTCCCTGTTAAAAGCGTAAGCTGCTGGGACCCTTTCCAAACATCTTGCAGCTTCATCTCTTAACTCGTAGATGTAAGAGACGCTTGTCCTGTTCCCTAAGGTTAGAATACTCACACTGTCCACTTGTGTAATCCTTTGTCATTCTTGAAAGCCATTCACCTGTTTTCTGAAGGTGTAAACTCTTGAGTGTAAATCACTTGTTCCCTCCCTTTGTGGTCCTAAAGCCCATTTACACGGAGTATCATTATGGTACTTATCAAAATGCATTGGGAAAGGCCAGGCGGGTGGCTCACGCCTATAATCCCAGCACTCTGGGAGGCCCAGGCCAGAGGATCGCTTGAGGCCAGAAGTTCCAGGCTAGCCTCAGCAACAAAAGCAAGGCCCTGACTCTACTAAAAAACAAAAACAAAAAACAAGGGGGGAGGGGAAGTAGCCAGGTATGGTGGTGTGCGCCTGTAGTTTCAGTTACTGGAGAAGACGAGGTGAGAGGATCCCTTGAGCTAAGTTAAGGAATTTGAGGTTGCAGTGAGCTATGATAATGCCATTGTACCCTAAACCCTGGGCAACAGAGCAAGACCCTGGCTCAATCGATCAGTCAATCAATAAATAATGCATTAGGATTATTTATACTCCCTACAGGTGCAGTTGTTGGAAGGCAGAGACTATCATTCATCCCTATGCAATCTACCTCAGGGAACAAACGTTTTAAAATTTTATTTTTAATTGACAAATTATAGTACATATGTATAGGGTACAATGTGATGTTTGGATACATGTATATATTGTGGAATGAGCAAATCAGGATAATTAACATATCTATCAACTGACAAACATTTCTTTGTGGTGAGGCCATTTAAAATACACTCTTTTAGCAATTCTGAAATATACAAAATATTATTAACTGGAGTCACCTTGCTGGGCAATAGATCACCAGAATTTATTCAAAAGCTGTCTAACTGAAACTTTGTACCTGTTGACCAACATTTCCCCTTTCCCCACTTACTGCCCACCCTCAACCTCTGGTAACCACCATTCTACTCGCTATTTCTTCTGTGAGTTCAACTTTTTTAGATTCTACATATATGTGAGATCATATGGTATTTGTCTTTCTGTACATGGCTTATTTCACTTAGCATAATGTCTTCTAGATTCATTCATGTTGTCAAAATGAAATAATTTTGTTCTTAAGGCTAAATAGTATTTCATTGTGTATATATACTGCATTTTAAAAATCCATTTATCCATTGATAGATACTTAGATTGATTCCATGTCTTGGCTGTTGTGAATGATGCTGCAGTGAACATGGAAGTACAGACATCTCTTCAACATACTGACTTCAATTCCTTTGGATATATACTCAGAAGTGAGATTCCTGTATCACATGGTAATTCTATTTTTAGTTTTTTTTAACTCATACATGGCAAATATTTTTAGTTTTTTAAGGAACTTCCACATTGTTTTCCAAAATAGCTGTACTAATTTACATTCCCACAAATAGTGTACAAAGGTTCCCTTTTCTCTATGTCTTCACCAACACTTGTTATCTTTCATCTTTTTGAGAATAGAATGGGACCATTTCTTTTTTTTTTTTTTTTTTTTTTTTTTTGAGTCAGAGGCGTGCCCTGTTGCCTGGGCTAGAATGCTAGCTCACAGCAACCTCAGACTCCTGGGCTCAAGCAGTCCTTCTGCCTCAGCCTCCCAAGTAGCTGGGACTACAGGCATGTGCCACCATGCCCAGCTCATTTTTTTTCTATATATTTTTAGTTGGCCAATTAATTTCTTTCTATTTATAGTAGAGACAGGGTCTCGCTCTTGCTCAGGCTGGTTTCGAACTCCTGACCTTGAGCAATCCTCCTGCCTTGGCCTTCCAGAGTGCTAGGATTACAGACATGAGCCACTGTGCCTGGCCTGTTGATAGGATTTTAACTCTGCCTTATTGCATATATTAAACACAGTTAAACGCCATGCCTTTTGATATTCATTCTATGTGGCAGTAAGTAAGGTTTTACCTAGAGAGAGTACAGCCAACTTGCAAGTAAAAGAAAAAATTAACAGGTGGGGTGTTGTTTTAGAAAAGAGAAAATTTCACCCACGTCAATCAGAAGTGTTTACTGAAGAGTTTACTGAAATTTCTGTGAGTTTGAATACATATCCTTAAAAATGGAAAAGTACTAGTTATCAAAAAGAATGTTCTAAATAAAAATATGGTGAAAATACAGCAATAGGACTGATACTTGCTGTGCTTGAATTATTGGAGATCAGGGAGGTAAGGTAAAGTGGGGTGATTTCCCATCTCCCAACCAGATAATATAGCCACTTGGCAAACATAGGAATGACTACTAGTGGAAGAAATGAATGAATAAGAGAAAATGTTAGCATGTTTGGCTGAGATACTAAAGGAATGACCACATTCAAACCATTACTTTTGGAAATAGTTTATAATTTATCATTTTAAAGCCTACAGTACAATACTTCTTTCTGTAGTATAGGTACATGCTTCTTTCTCTCAGTTTTTTCAGTTGTTCCTCTTTTTGTGATCATCTGATTCTATCACACCTCAGATAGTTTCAGAACTAGCAGCATGATATTTTCTCAGCTCTTAAATTGACTTAAATGCTTTTGATCTTTCATGAGGTCAATCTGATTTTAACAAAAGGAACAACAAATTGATTGCAAAACATGGAGGAAAAAGGGCATTTTGTTTAAAGCCCCTTTGGTAGAAAAATGAAATTGTGATACATATGTTTTCATTTTATGTACAGCTGCCCCTCAGACACAAAAGGGTGAGAAAGGAAATGAAAAGTAACTTTTTCTTTCTTTTTATAAGATATTGCAATCAATTCTTCCAAAATGGAGAGCAAAAGCAGTACTGTATTCATTCAACAGATGCTACATTCACAATGAAGTTGAGGGAGGGAACTCACAACACCATGGGCGTGGTCTGACCAACCTAGAAAAAATGAAAACACTCTAATGGCTTTGCATTTAGAATAAAACCCAAACTTCTTAACTGTGGCCTCAAAAGTTATTGACAGAATAGCCCTTGCCTGCTTCTCCATCTACCCCAATCTCCTGCCACTTTTTCCCTTACTGTAATTTCGATGGGTTTAGTACATACCATTACCTCTCATTGCAGATATGTTGTGGTATGTTGCAAACACTTGAAATATTTGTTTTCTGGCTCTTTACATGGCTGGCTTCTTTATCCTTCACATATCAGCTTAAATGAGAAAATCCTCACAGAGGCCTTCCTGTTATATTAAACATGTACAAGGAAGTTCATTGCAGCATTGTTTGTAGAAGCAAAAAAGCATGAACAATCTTAACTGTCCCTCAGTACGAGAATGGAGAAGTAAATTACTCTATTTCTATATAACTATTCAGATGAATTAGAGCTGCATGTACTAACGTGGATACATCTCAAAAACAATACTGAATGAAAAAACAATCTTTTTGATATCACTTATGTCCATTTTTAAAGCACACTCTATAATATAGTAAAAGTAAAAAATGTAAGTGAGGATGATATACATCACCTTCAGCATGCCAATTACTTCTAGAAAGGGGTAAAGAATGAGGTGATGCTTTTTTTTTTTTTTTAATTTGACTTTTCCCCTTTTTTTTTCTTTTTCTTTTTTTAACTTTGAATTTTCTGGCTGAACAGAGGTGATGCTTTATTGGTTACTAGCTATTAGTTATATCTAATGGATTTCTTAAAAACATGAAGGAAATGTGACAATATTGTTAAAGTTGGGGATAGAGATGATTGTTAAAGTTGGGGATAGAGATAATTGTTAATATATTCTTTTTAACATTTTTGAAATATTTTAAAACATTTAAATTAAGATGTTTTTTTTTTTTTTTTTTTGAGACAGAGTCTCACTTTGTTGTCCAGGCTAGAGTGAGTGCCGTGGCGTCAGCCTAGCTCACAGCAACCTCAAACTCCTGGGCTCGAGTGATCCTTCTGCCTCAGCCTCCCGAGTAGCTGGGACTACAGGCATGCGCCACCATGCCCGGCTAATTTTTTATATATATATCAGTTGGCCAATTAATTTCTTTCTATTTATAGTAGAGACGGGGTCTCGCTCTTGCTCAGGCT